AAATATTAAAACCTATATAAATAAGTTGAGAGTGCACGAAAATAGCGAACCAGCTTACTTAGTCTAGCGGTGTAAGAGTCCTTAAACAAGGTAGAGATTCTGTGTTCGATACCTTGTGCTAGCTAGTAGCAACAACATTTTTTGGGAGCATAAGCACTTTTTGTACTTTATTTCATATAAAAGTTTTTATTTAACATATTTCTTAACTGTTCTGTCTTTTGAATTCTTTTAATTTTTTAAACTAACTAGAGTTTCAGTTTTCATTTGACAAAACAAGTAAATTAAATAATTTACTTTCATTTTTAGTTTGTTAAGTCCTTAAATTCCAATTAGAACAAAATTCTTCAATTTGAAGGATTGTTTTCTAATAAAAGATAATTATTTCAATACTAATTTTGACAGACATCAATTTTTTAGTTATGAAAATATAATTTTCTATACAATATTAACATTCATTGTTACCTTTTTATAGCTTTGTAATTTGTATTGAACTGAATGTGAAAACATTGTTAGTATAACTTCTATTTTGAATTATCTTAATAATGTCAAACAAGATCTTGTGCAATTATAGAATTATAAAATTTAACAATTTTAAAATTATAATGTCATACAAATAAAATAAGAATTTTTAATATCTCAGATTTTTTATATGATTAGTATAATATAAATTTTAAACTTTTTTAGATTTTTTGCGATAACATAGTAAGAAAAGCTCGGCCCCCCCGAGCCTCAAATCCTGGCTCCGCCCCTGGCAGTCGTTGCACCACACAACGGCGGATTGGTCGCGACCCTTCTGAAAAGAGAAGCTCTCGTTCTGGTGCAATAAATACAATGAGAAGTTTGAGGGAATAAGAAGACTGCGGGATTACGAAGTTTGCGGGTTAAGAAGACGGTTGTCACGAAATAGTTGTCGGCAACAATGGAGATGAACCGTCGGGATGCGCCGAACCAGTCGTCGACAATGACGGAGATGAGTCGTCGGAAGTCGCCCAACCAGTTTTCGACAGTGATAGAGATGAGCCATTGGGAGCTCGAGATTGACGAATGTGTATTTTTTTTAAGTTTTAGGTTTCGATTCAATTCTCAAATTTAAGTTGATCGTATTCAATCAACTAAGTCTTTGATTTATTTAATGGAAGGTCTGAGTTTGTTGGGCACCACCTCTAGATAAGGTGGTGGCGTCGCAACATTTGTGTGGCGGTGATGGTTGGGATTTCAATTAAATTTTTGCTTAATTGTTATTTTTCTTTATAAGTAATTAGGCTATATTGATATTTTTTTGGTATGTTAGATCAAATTTAACAGGTTTTGGATGGAAAATGTAATGGAGGGGTATGTTTGAGAATTTGTTATAGTAAAGGATAATTTTGATGTAAATCATAATAAAGAGCATGGTTCTAGAACGAGCTAGGCGTAAGGTGAGCTTTGATGCTCGGCCTTGTGCATAGCATGTTTAGGCGCCGCCTAACTACCGAAGCACATTGAGATGAAGAAGTGCAAAAAAGAAAAAAGAAGCTACTTTAGAGATGGTCGTCTATAACTATATCCTAGCCTAAATAGAGAAACCAAGACCATCCTCATTCCTCCCTAGTAAGCATATCACAAGGTAGAAAAAAAAAACATCATGACATCATGTTGAGGCACAACTCAATGTTAACTAGGTGCCATTGAGGCCACAACGTGATTGTGACGCGCCTAAACGAGGTTAGGCGAGTGTCTAAGCGTGCTTTTTAGAACCATGATAAAGAGAAACAAAATAAACTATTAACCCTTGTTAATACTCTGCTATTCTCTCATTAAATTGGGAACTACAATGCTAACCAGCTTTTTTTACCGTTTATCTTTTATATATATATATATATATATATATATATATATATATATATGGCGAGTTCTATGGTACCCTGGGTGAAATCTGGGGTATCGAATACCTTGAGTAAGAAAATGCTATCCAGAACTTGAATTGACTAATCTTTCGGACATGATACTATATTCTAACTCTTAAAGATCAACATCTAGGTCTTAATTATCTAAATCTTATACTCGAAGATCAAGTTAATTAGAAACAATAATCGACTGTTATGATTCGTCCAAATATAGGCAAAAAAATCAATGCACCATTTTAGGGTTTATAGTTTATGATTTAGATAATTTGGACCTAGGGTTCACTCATTAAGGGTTAGGGTATACTATCATGCCCAAAAATCCTGCTAATTCGAGGTCTAGATAGCGTTTTCATACTCAAGGTATGTGGTACCCTGGATTTCACCCGGGGTACCGTAGAAGGCACCATATATATATATATATATATATATTTCTTCCAATAAATTGAAAAGAGAGGTTGTAGTGGATTCCCTGATATTTATCATTCCAGACGGACAATTAAGGAGAGAAAGAGATTGGATTTAAAAAAATTAACGAAGAACAAGAAGATTAATAAGGAGTGGAAGAAGGAAAGGTTGAAAATGTTTGTGGTTTACGTAACGTTTGAAAAATACTATTCTTCCATAGCCAAATTGAAACGATTGAAGCATATTTACAATGTAAAATACCCTAGTACTAACTTTTTTGCTAGTATCTTCTTTCAATTTATCCCATCCTCTTTGCAGTAGACTACTACCGTTTTGTCAATTATCGTCTTTGATTATAAAAAAAAAAAACACCACAACTAATCCCCAATCAACATCCAGGTACTAACAGAATTAGGGTTGCGTGTTTCACAGTATATATACTAGTTTTTACACGGTCCTTGACCGAACTAGTTTTGTTTTATCTTTTACATTGGTTAATTTATAATTATATTTAAAATATTTACCAGACCCGTTGGTCGGACGAATATTATTTTTTGTTGATCAATTTTTTCATATTTTAAAATAATTTGATGTTTTCAAAAATAGCTAATTCATTATTTTAAATTAATCTTTTTGGTATTTGTTGATTATAATATTAGCGAAAATTAGTTAATATGTATTTTTTTTATCAAGTCGGCCTAGTTTACTGTTTTGTATTTTTTTCCTCTATATCTTAGAAGAAATTTGTGTACTTTTTATTATCGGATATAAATTTGGAGTTGGAAGGAAATATATGTCATCTAGAATTGGTAGAAATTGAAGGTATATAATAAAATCAAGAGAATAAAGAAAAGATTATGCCTCAAAATCTCAAATATGAAAAGATACGAAAAAATAATGCTTATTGTATAAATTATTATGATTTAGTGCATAGGCTTGTTTGAATAATAAGTGGGTGTTGTTAAGTGTTAGATACTAATGCGCGTACCAAAGTTAAGATTATCCAAACATTATAAAAGCTTAAATTCTACTCTACCAATATACTCTTTGACTTTCCATGTGGTGTTAATAGCATAAATTGTCACTCTATTATCCATTTTTCTCAAATCTATCCCTCTATTATTTTTCAAATCAAACATGTCCTTGTAATATATAGTATATAAGCATTATGAAATTAAATTTAGCCCCTTTTATGGTTTATCTTCTCCATTTGCAACTCCCAATAATTAATACCTACAGTCACATTCTCCATCTGTTCCGCTTTCTCTTCCTTCGACCCAACAATAATTAAACACAAAAACTTGTCTGTCACGTGACAAAGGTCGCACTCCTATGACCCTGGTGTGTGTCAGATGTGAAACTAATGAGGAATGGCCATGTGAGACTTGAGCGTGAGGTGCTTGTGAGGGAAGGCAATATGTGATGGAAGGCGAATTCTTATAGTAGTCTTTTTGTCTACAGAATTGACTCGACGGATTTAGCTTACCAATTAGCAGAGCAGGAGCTAGAACGGGAGTGTAAGAGCGTATATTCTTTAAGAATCATGATTTGAGTGCACCGAAAGAGCGTGAAAATTATATTATTTTAATTAATATATCATTTAACTTACTAACATTTTTAGTCAAAATATTATAACAATGCAGCAGAAAAATAAAAATAAAGTAATTTTAGTAGGATAATAGTTTTAAATAATCTGATTAAGCCCGAAAAGGGAACAGACTTCAAAAGTTGAATAGAGACCCACCAAAGTTTATGATACTGTTTTTTGTTTTTTATTGAAAATTTTAGTTTTATTTTTTTAAAAGGAAAAGAGAAATGAATGCATCGTTATCCACCCGCATGCACTCAATTCGTTTATCCACCCCCCATGCATCGTTTCTTCCCCTTCGATTCTTTGTTTACTAAGTCGATGCTGGAGATCTCCTGTAGATGTACCAAATTGGCAAATTCTATATCATCATTCATCTAACTAACCTCTTATCCTTTTAATTGGCCACAAGACCGTGATTTGATGATCTCATTTACAGTGCCCATTTAAGTACTTGTGGTGTACCATTTTCGTCTTTGCTCTCCAGATCTTTAATGGCACCGCATGTATTCCTTTCTCCCACGAAGAAGCGAGCCATCGTCTTTTAGCCAAAGCTGTTGATTTGGCTATAACTTATTTCATTTTACTTTGTTTATAGAAAGGTAAATCTCTCAAATAAGTGATATATGAAATAAAATTTGCGAACTTTGATTTTGCCTGATTTTTTAGTTTGAGCTACAATTTCTGAGTTTTGGAAGTTTGTAGTTTCTGAAAAATAATTGTGAAGTAAAAATATCATTTCTACTTTCATTCTCGTTGTTGGAAATTTGAAATGAGACAACAATTTTCTCATTTTAGTATTATATATTGTGTAGAGTGTATATAAAGACATGTCATTTCCCTACAAATTCATTAGCATATTTAAAAAAGGTGAAATGAACCAAATTATTAAACTCCTAATGATTGTTGGATCCAATCGTGTCAGAATAGGAAGAAGTTTAAAATTTGACGGTTAGACGAACTAAAATGTTCAAAGAATCAGTCCCATATAGTTTTCACGAAAATATGAATACGATTGTGTCATAGTAGATCTAATTTAAGAATTATACATCACTTTTACATATTCAATACAACAATTCGATATGAAATATTCAAACCAGTAATATTTGGGCCGCGATTTTAAAGTTTTCCTCTATTTATAAGATATATATATATATAGGAATTTAATTAAGTATTAAGCAATAATTAAAATGAGGAATTTGGCGTCTGTTAGTCACACAAAGTTTTAACTCAAATCCATGTTTCTCTGATAATTTTTGCTTCTTATTTGTATGAGATGAGGTCGACCGGCTCTATGACTATGCACATGGAGAAAAAGTAAATTTACTATTGCGGGATTATGATGGCTTTTTGAGATGGTTTGGTCTTGTATTGTAGGCTCTCGAATCTAAAGCAAGAAGAAGAGACAATGGGATAGTCGAACCTGGTTTGTGATGCTTCATATTGTGGGGTTCTGTGATAAGTAAAAGGACGATATGACAGCATAGCTACATATATAAATTGTTGAAAATAAAATCAGTTTGAAGTGGCCCGGTGCTCGAATGAGTTGGTTAACTCGGTCGGATTTCCCGTTGAGATATAGATAAACTCGACTTTGACCGAGCCCGAGTAGACAACCAACTAGGCCTTTGGCACCGGCTGAGATACTAATGTTTAGGTAGAATTGGTTTGACCAGCAGAGTCATACTCGATTTGACAATCATGGTCATGACTCTTGTTGTCTGTGTTTAAAGATACATTAGTTCAAATCCTAATACTTGTCTATTTTCTATACAAAATAAAGATAAAGAATGGCGAAGACAAAATTATCATTCATACTATTGCTCTCGTTGTAGGAAATTTGAAATGCAACGACAATTTTATCATGCCAGTAGTATATATTGTGTAGAGTGTATATAAAGACATGTCCTTGCTCTACAATTCATTTTAATACATAAAAAAAGAGGAAATAAACCAACTTATTAAACTCAACCTCGTTTAATGATTGTTGAATCCAATCATATCTGTCAGATTAGAAAGATGTTTAGAAGTTAACGGTTAGCGTAGCTAAAACGTCCAAAGAACCCATCCCCATATTATTTGCAGAAAGATATGGATATGATAGTCTCACGGTAGTTTTATAAAGTAATAATAATGTAAGAGTTCAACATCGCTTCTACAAATTCGATATTGCAATTTGATTTATAATATTGAAGCAATAATAAATAAAATTTTAGTGACCTTATAAGATAGATAGAAAATTATAACATAAATAGAAATTTCAATTAAGTATCAAGTATTATTAAAAGAATAAAATATGAAAATCAAAGTATAAAAACATCAATAAGTACCGAGCGAAGATTTAGTGACCTTAGCTAACCGTTGAAAAGTTCTGTTATTTTTTAATGTTAGCTTCATGTATGTTTTTTTATTTAAAATCGTACAACTAATATATGTAGCTTGATTGGTTAAGATTCTTGTTATTGTTGAAAATGACCACGGTTCAAATCCTAGTATCCGTTTCTTTTTTAAGGAATAAATGAGAAACAAATAGATCACTGTGAAGACAAAAATACCCTTCCTACTTTCACTCTCGCTGCAGGAAAATTTGAATGGGGTGTAGAAAAAATATCCAGCTATCTATATATTGTAGATTCCATCCCTTCAGATAACCGTCCATGTGATTGGCATTTTCCAGGTTTAATTAAGAAAAGGAGGTATGATGGCGGAAGAGAGGGAATCGAAGAACCATAAAACGAGTCACCATGATCACGTTCTCCTTAGTGATGGCAATGGGGCGGGGCAGGGTGGATACCTCAATACCCATGTACCGCTCCACGTTACTACGGGTAGGGGCGGGTAAAATCTGTGCAGGTACGGGGTGGGTCGACTCACTCTTACATGTTATTTGGAAAATACACGCAAATTTTACTTTTTACGATAAAACAAATGATAAAACACTTTATGAATGAAAAGTAGTGATAATAGTATGGGTAATTAAGTCTAACAAGTTGAAAGATCGACTCTAAGTAGTTGAGTAATATGTATTGATATTGTAGGAAATTGAGATAGAATTAGTTATTAAAAATGGGTAATCCGCGCCCCATCGCGGGTCAGGTAGGGTAATACTCGCGGGGCGGGTTCAAATTGCCATCACCTTCTCCTCCACTTTCTCTCCTTCCTCGACCCCATGTCCCTTGTCCAGACCAGCGTCCAGCGCAAGGGATTGCGGAACTTGTGGAAAGACAACCCTACCATCAATTTCCACTGCATCGACCAGCCGGGTTACATTCAACACGCAGACAACCTTCTTCCGCCGTCCGAACACCATCAGCTTCGACATCAAGGGCATGAGTTCGCTGCCGGTGCTCAACCTCGAGAATGCGACACTACGACGTCGTCGCATGGGCCTTCAGGATTTGTCTGTCTTTGCTTGCGTATACGGAGCATATTTCTTCAGAAGCACGGGCCCCATCATCGGCTATCTCTAGAAAAAGTTCCTCGAGATTCTCAGTCTGGCGATATGGAGGTTCTGAGGTCTAGCGACTCCGGAGTTCAGCTCGTTGACGAGTTTAGAACTGAGTGCATGGAGTTTCTACAATGACTATGATAGAGCTCCGGATTAAGCTCTATCGAGAGATTGGGGATTAGAGATCAACTAGGGATTGATCCGGGAATTATGGGGATTGGGGAAAGGTGATTTGAGATGAATTGAAGCAAGGAGAGGGGAGGGGAAAGAGGCTGCCGATCGGCAGCTTGGTAGGGGAAGGGAAAGGCTCGGCGGCCAATAGAGAGAGAGAGAGAGAGAGATATTAGTTTTAGGTTTAATCTTTTGCTTGCCTTTACCTACGTAAAACAATAGTTTAAATATCCAAAACACTATTACCTACTAACTACCCCAACTTATTAATCCCCCACTTATTTTCCAATAACCAAAATAACCCCAAACAGAATAATTCAACCCAAACATAAACCCGAATAATTAAAATGTAATTTAAACGTCTATCATTCCTGCTCTCCTCAAAACAACCTTGTCCTCAAGGTTGGTAGCCTTCCCATGTTTCTTCTCCGCCTCTCGCCTCATCCTCAGCCTCGTCCTCCCACCTTCCGATCAGCATCATCAGGTCCGGCCATGCACACTTATGACCGATCGTGAACCTCTCGTCACAATTAAAGCACTTTCCTTCCCGCCTCTTCTGCTCGATCTCTGACGGGGAAAGTCGCACAAACCCCTTGGGCGGCGACCGCGCCCCACCCTTCACCGCCGCAAATGGCGCCTGCGCCACCGCTGATCCCCCAGCTCCAACAGTGACTCCAGCCACTCCTCCTCCTCCACTGCCGACCCCGCTACTGCTTCCATCTAATACCAAATGATAGAGTTCCGGATTAAGCTCTATCGAGAGATTGGGAATTAGGGATCAACTAGGGATTGATTCGGGAATTATGGGGATTGGGGAAAGGTGATTTGAGATGAATTGAAGCAAGGAGAGGGGAGGGGAAAGAGGCTGCCGATCGGCAGCTTGGTAGGGGAAGGGGAAAGGCTCGGCGGCCAATAGAGAGAGAGAGAGAGATATTAGTTTTAGGTTTAATCTTTTGCTTGCCTTTATCTAAGTAAAACAATAGTTTAAATACCCAAAACACTATTACCTACTAACTACACCAACTTATTAATCCCCCACTTATTTCCCAATAACCAAAATAACCCCAAACAGAATAATTCAACCCAAACATAAACCCGAATAATTAAAACTTAATTTCAACGTCTATCAGACTACGAGTCGTTTTCTTTTGCTAATTTTCCAAGTTTCAAGTGCCTGAAGCTGCTCCATTGCTGGTCAAGCGGCCGCGTACAAGTATCGGCACCACAGGTGTTGGATCTGGAGACTCATACTCCTGTTTCGAGTTCAGTAAACTGTTTGCTCCAAAGCTTGAATCTTTCAGGTTTTTAGGTTACATGCTTCAGTATCTGAATGATGATGATCAGAGTTATGGCCTCCCTTCGCTCAATCATGCTAGAATCCGTCGAGTTTGGGTAGAGCAGGGACGCTGTGATGGCCTCAAGAGTGAAAGGTTGTCTCGTGCATTCATGACCTTATTGCCTAGCATGCTGATAAAACCGAAATGGTGTTATTTACCTTGCATTTATTAGGTGAAATTGTGTTAAAATGATCTTCAATTGTTTTACAAAAATGTTATTTGAATATGCCTATTTCGTTCCTTTTCGTTTATGATTTTGTTTTACGAGTAAAGTTGGGGAGAAAATGAGCAAGAATGTGTAGAAACAATGAGAAGAACCAAACAGCACAAAGATCGCAACTGAAGGGCTCAAGTTCCCGGCCGAAAAGATGGACCGCGATGATTGCCAAGAGATCATGGGCTAAGGTTGAGAGATCCCGGCCGCGAAGTGGAGCATCTTGGCCGTGAAGTCTGGAAGGATTCGTCTCTAGGAGAACAGAGAGTTTCCTCACTCTCTTCGCGAGCAACGCTGATCCAGACTGAGGAAAAAGATCACGCCCATGACACATATGTTCAAGGCCGCGATCTTCTGTCTTCATGCCACGAACTAGCTCGAGATCCAGCGTGGAGTTTGTTGGAGAGAAAAGGGAGAGCTGCCCTAGAATGAGAAAGTTAGGATTTTGGAGTGTTTTAGAGAGGGAAACACCTTGGGAGAGCTTCATTGAAGATCCAATCAACCCAAGGAGCAAGGAGAAGAAGCTTGATTTCATCACTATCTTCTTCTAATTTGTGTTTTCTTCTCTTCACTAATGACTTGAATCTCTATTGGTTGTGTTAGGGAAGATGAACCCTAGTTTATAGGTTGTGTATGGGTTTGCATGACCCGCTTAGACTTGTCACTCACTACATTCTTCACGTTTGATGAAATACATCTCTGCCCACTGCATGAAGCTGGAGACATGTCCTCTTTGCCATACTTAATTGAAAACTATGATGAATCCTTAGACACACCTCGTTTTCCATTTTTCTTGACATCAACGTGACCCCCAGTCTGACATCTCACCTTCAACTTAGCAGATGGTACCATGTTGCCCCCTGGATGGCTTGCATTCATCAGGCTTCTTGGGCATGGATAGAAATGGGATTGGGCAAGTTTGTGGTAGCACATCTAGAATGAGTGGTCTTTCACCAACTCTCCCAATGAGGCATGGCCTACTTTCTAAGACAGTTTCTATCATAATTGTCCTCACATGCAGTTGTTTTACTTGTGTGGTAAATGTGGCACCGAGATTCTCTTCATAACTACTATGTTGAAGTTATGGTTGACTTGTTGTCGGTGGCGACAAGTTCTCTAGTCGTGGATGGGTATTCCGACCACCGCAATCTACAAGACTTGTATCCCCAGCATTATTATTAAGTGGTGGATCTATACCAATTTTTAGTAAAGACATTTCTTGCAACACTGGTTCTTTAAAATAATTTTAATCTCATTCAAGCAATTTGGATTTTCCATAACAACTTCAAACAATTGTTCTAAACGTCTATCTAAGATAGTACCAAGAAAAGCAAGTTTGAGACTTGTCTGTTGTGAACTTCTAACAAGTCGATCCAAATTCTCTCCTATGAATTAGCGGTTCTCCACCACAATCTTGTGGTCTTCCTCCATGGCATGACGATTTTCTTCCATTAACTAACGAAGGTATACCACTGCCTCGCTGAGATCCACACTAGGCGTCACATTGGTAGTATCTCTGGCCTAGCATTGTTTCCGGTCACTACCTCTGATATTTGGCCAAGTTCAATGTTGGCCATCTGCTCCTCCACAAAACCAACCTGAGTGTCACCTTTTTTATTCCTCCGCCTTGGAGCCATCAAATCGAACAGACGTGTCCCACTGAGTGTGCCAACTTGTTTTCCCGACGAGAAAAGTAGAGTTGAATAGATGGAATTGCACTTTTGAATTCTTACCAAACAATTAACAAACACAGTCCACACCTCTTTGAACAAAGTTCAAACAAGGGTGTTCAATGTTTTGATGAACTACTAGACAAAATTTCCATTAAATTAGCCCTACTCCTATGGAGGTTCAGTGAGAGCTCCAAAAATACGACTATAGCTAAAGTTTGCAAAGGAAAAGAGAAAAGATAAAACTTGACAAGTTCGGGTTCAAGTTTTACCCGTATCCACTAAAAGTTCTTCAGGTTCAGGTTTTACCCTACCCGATTAGGTAGGATTCGGGCGGATAACCACGGTTACAGATATATTTGTCATCCCTAGACAAGTGATGTCGAGTTGTGATTTTTGTGAACCCCTTCTCTATCATCTTCACCTCCTATTTATAGTCACCAGAAGTAACTGCCTCGAGAAACTGCTCCGCTGACGTAGAGTGACAGTTACCCTTCCAACTGCTTTGACAGTTACCCTGTCGTTGGATGTGCCACCCTTTACAGTCTTGACTCCCTCCTCTTGATAGCTCTTCATTAGCTTTGCCTGTCAGTTGAGAAAAATGACGAAAGCATAAAACCCCATTGCCACATGGGGGTGAGTGTTTAGATCACACAAGGTAAATGTGATTAAAAGATTAATTCGCCACTAGGGGGGACATGTTGATACCGCCCCCATCACATCAGGGAGCCTCCTCTCCTTGGCTAAATCCAATCATCAATATCCGTTAACCACACTCACACCATCACTTTGAAAATTTTCACTTCATAGTATTACACCGTGGGGATATAATAAAGACGTAAATTGATTACTATACCATCACTTTGAAAATTTTCACTTCATAGTATTACACCGTGGGGATATAATAAAGACGTAAATTGATTACTATACCACCCCTCCTCGTCACCCTAGGGGTAAGCTGATCACGTTCTGATCACGTTCCTTCCAAGTCATGGAGTGGCAGTATTGTGGCCACCCCCCTCACCACGTAATGAGGGTACCACATCATGCGAGTAGCGGTATGGTGGCTATCCCTCTCGGCACGTAATGGGTATGGCGGTATGGTGGCCATCCCTCTCGGCACGTAATGGCGATGGCGGTATGGTGATCACCCTCATCACCACATTATGAGGGTGGTGGTATGGTGGTCACCGATATGGTTGCATCGGCATGGGTGTCCTGAGTTTAAAAGTCCAATAAAGTTTGCGCATATTAATTATTTGAATTATTATAATTAAGTTGGCCTTATAAAACCATTTACTCCCTTTTCTTTAAACGATATGGTGCAATATTAAATTTTGGTGTAAACACCAAGATACATTCACTATTGAGACAAACCATCCACTATCTCTTCCACCCACAACCTGGAAGACATCATTTCATCATTTGTAGCAAGCAAGCAAAACCTAGAACTGCTATTATCAATACGTCGAAAAGAAATCAACGACAATAAGATATCATCGCACTGTAATTCATAATTTCAACCACCTTCTCATGCATACACCCATAATACATGTTTAACAAGACTAAAAGTATTTGGATGACTAGAAGGGCGTATAACACTAACACACAATGTTGGCATCTCTAGACAAACATAGCAAGCGTTATCGGATCAAAATCGAAACGCGTGCAGAATTTGCGAACTAAACTAAGGTGTCACACAATGCATCTGCCTTCAGTTAAATTCTTATAAGTTCGACTTACCGACGGGCACAATAATGTCTTCCAGGTTGGTGAAAGCTCACTTCTTGCCACCTCCAGA